GAGGACACGCGAGGGACACAAGACCCTTCCGAGGGCCACGTTGCCGCAGAAATGCAGGAGGCAAGGGTCGCAAGACACAGGACACGAGGGTACCCTTGATCTGGCAGGGTCAACCTACTAGTCCGGGCCGCCTGTATTCCATCCATTGGGGGTAGCGCGTGTTACGGGGGGGATCGGCGGGGGGGGTAACAAGAACGGGGCGGATCGGCGGAGCGCGCCCGCAACACCAGCGCAACAACCGCTTCTGTGCACCACGATAAGTGTGCTTACGAAACGTCAACGTGCACCACAGCGCGCGTGTACACCAAAGCGCCTCTGTTCACCCTTGAACCTGCGCGCGCCATGGCGCCACATCGCCCGTGTCCCCCTTGGTGCCTCTGTGCGCCTCGGCACTCGCGTGCGCAACAGCGCCATTGCGCTCCACACTGCCTGCGTGCATCGGATCGTTCTTCTACACCACGGAGCCTGCGCACATCACAGCGGCCGCGTGCACCACACCGTGGCCGTACTCAGTGCCTGCGTGCACGACGACGACGACAACGAAGACGACGACAACACAGACGACGACGCCCGACGACGACGACGATGACGACGACAATGCCTGTGTACCTTCGGAGGCCTCCAGGCCACATCGGTCGTCGTCTTCCTCGTCCTCTTCCTCTTCCTTCTCCTCCTCCTCCTCCTCCTCCTCCTCGTCCTCCTCCTCCTCGTCCTCGTCCTCGTCCTCGTCCTCCTCCTCCTCCTCCTCCTTCTCCTCCTCCTCCTCTCCATCCTCCTCATACCCAAGGGGGATCCCTAGAAACTGCTGTCGAAGCTGCAAAAATTCACGCCTGTGGCCAGTTCCCGTGCGTTTCCGTTACGGGGGGTGCCTCAGGGGGTGCTACGAATTCCCCGAGAGCCTATAAAAGAGCAAGATCAAATCTGCAATGTGAAATGCTGAAAGACGAGCAACGAGCGAAAACATGCTGCCCCACGTACATCATAAGTGCAGCATTCTACTGCGCTGCACATGCGGAACACCATGAGGAAAACCACTCGAGAGACCATCGGGGAGACCCGGAGACCATACTAGGGGGGCTACATGCGAACCCGACCCCTACCCCCCACGAGCTCCGAGGGCGATGGTGGGGCTCTCACTTCACTCGGGAGCTCCCGCACGAAGTGAGCCCCACCATCCCCCCCAGAAATCGGAAGGGGGCAGGGGTGGGGTTCGCATGTGGACCCCCACATGCGAGAGCCCACATGGGAGACCGTACGTGACTACCTACCAGACCACCCCAACCCAACCCGAAGACCCGAATTTCGGGTTGGGGGGGGGAAGGGTTCCACACGTGTTTTTTCGATGTTCCCGGACACACACACCCACTGGAAATCGAGGGTAAATCTGAGCCTTCGGGTTGGGTTGGGGTGGTTTGGTGGGTGGAAAGTACGGGAGGCCACACGGGAGACCACATGGGAGACAACGAAAAAGACCATACGGCAGACCACACGGGAGACCGGACGAGAGACCACACGAAGAGACCACACACGAGAGACCATCAAGGGAGGCCCTCCAGGAGTCCACACGGGAGGCCACACGGGAGACCACCCGAAACCCAGGCGCCCGACCGATGCGATCACGACTGCGAGAGCCAATGCGAGCACTGGAGGGATACTCCAGATTTCGTAACAAAGGGAGGGGGGTCTCATTTCGGGGGGGGGTCTCTTCCAGGCTATCTTGGGGGGCCGGGGGTCTGGGGACGATGTTTTGGAGGGTTATCCCACGGGGGAGGGTCTGAAATGGCGTGTCTTGGGGTCCAGACCCGCTCCCTTTTATTACGGAATCTGGAGTACAGTCGGGGCGTTGACCTAAGGAACCCTAAAGAAGGAACGAGGCCCCTCTTTCCCTTGAGCTAAGCTTGGATTTCCCCTGGAAAACCTTAGGAACGGCTTGGGAAAACTGTAAGGCAATCAAGGAACGCGGAGCCCCTCCCCAACGAAAAGGGTTCCTTCTTCAGGGCCCCGGCTGTAGGGGTGTAGGGGCACGGGGCTGGAAGCGTGGTGGGGACAAGGATCGGGAACGGGGTGCCGGAAAGGGACACAGGAGACGGGCAAAGGGAGGACGAGGCTAGGAGCAGAGGGCCAGGGATAAGGGCAGGGAGACAAAAGGGACACGGGGCTGGAAGTGTGGGGACAAGGATCGGGAACGGGATGCGGGAAAGGGACACAGGAGACGTGGGCGGAGAGGACGGGGCTAGGGGTATTTAGAGGGCCAGAGAGGAGGGTAGCAGGAGACGAAGGGAAACGACGACGGGAGACAGCAGGAAACGGCTGGAGGCCAGGGGGGACCGCGGGGGACCGCGGGGGGTACCGCGGGAGACCCTGGGAGACGAGGGGCGACGACGGGAGACGACGAAAGGGCGACAACGACGGGAGGCAGCCAGCGCCCGACCCCGTGCCGAGGTCTGAGCCCGCCGGTGGCCTGGGCTGCTTCGAAACTATCCACCACCGCGCATCAATGATATTGTTATGATTACTAATACACTTCTTACTCTTATGAGTTGCTTGTGTTCCTCGTCATTGTTCTTCTTATTACTATTAGTCGTTTCCTGCTTGCTTCTATGATTCTTCCTCCTCCTCCTCCTCCTCCTCCTCCTCCTCCCCGAGCCCGCCAGTGGCCCGGCTCAAACGAAACAATCCGCCACCGTGCGTGTACGATGTGGGCGTGTAAGGACCTGGGCCTGCACGGGAACGGAATGAGCGCTTCAGGAACTCGGCCAAGAGGGCTCAGGGCACCGTTCGCTCCTGGGGGGGCGCCGTGGCGTGAAGAGCTTTTCCACGTCACCGGTCGCCATCGGAGGCCTTGGTGTGAAGAGCTTGGTCACGTCATCGCTCACTCTTGGGAGCCTTGGCGTCAAGAGCTTGCATGTACGATGTGGGCGTGTTTGCATACCAGGTGCTGCTCTATGGGGCTTCTGTATTTCGTAAGAGACCTCTCCCTACTAGCGGACTAATGTGCACCCCTCCCTCCTCCCAAGGCCACGATCCCCCGTAAGAGATCTATGGAACCGCGCTCCCGAGGTCACGAGGCCACGTTAAAACCCTGTCACAGACGGCCCAAAAAGCCTCCACGATGACCCCAAACCAAACCGGCCCAACGCCCCCAAGAGAACCCAAAGATGGCCCAAGAGGAACCCAAGAGGGCCCAAGATGTATCCAAAATGGCCCCAACACGGCCAAAACGAGTTACATGAGAGCTTCTCAAATAGTGAAGACGGAGGGTGCCACATGTGACGGCCCTCCTCTGCCTCCTCCTCCTCCTCCTCCTCCTCCTCCGACAACTGCTCCTCCACCTCATTATCGTAGTCGTCGTCGTCCTCATCCTGCTCCTCCTCCTCTTCCTCCTCCTCCTCCTCCACCTCCACCTCCTGCGTATCATCAGCATCATCAGCATCATCATCAGCATCATCATCATCATCATCATCATCATCATCATCATCATCATGATCATCATCATCAGCATCATCAGCATCATCATCAGTATCATCATCACCATCTGCATCAGCATCATTATGATCAGAAGCAACAGCAGCAACATCAGCATCAGCATCAGCATCAGCATCATCAGCAGCATAATCTTATCATCCTCATCAGCATCAGCATCATCATCATCATCATCATCATCATCATCATCATCGTCATCATCATCGTCATCATCACCATCATCATCATAATCATCATCATCATCATCATCATCATCATCATCATCATCAGAATCGTCATCCTCAGCAGCATTATCATCAGCAGCGGCATGATAATCCACAGCATCATCATCAGCAGCATCATCATCAGCAGCAGGAACACATCATCAGCAGCAGCATCAACATCAGCATCATCATCAGCAACAGCAGCATCGCCATCATCGCCATCATCATGATCATGGGCAACGTCATCGGCATCAGCATCATGACCACCAGCATCACCATCATAATCATCTTCAGCAACATCATCAGCATAAGCATCATCATCATCATAACCAGCATCATCAACACAAACAGCATCATCAGCAGCAGCATCATCATCAGTATCAGCATCAGCATCATCAGTATCGTCATCCGCATCATCACCACCATCAACACAACCACCATCATCATGAACAGCATGATCATCATCAGCAGCACCATCAGCATCATCACCATCAGCATCAGCATCAAAATCAGCATCATAATCAGTATCATCACAACCATCGTCACCATCACAATGCATAACCATCATCGACATCATCATCAACTGCAACAGCAGAATCATCAGCATTACCAGCATCATCATCATTGTCATAATCATCGTCTCCGTCGTCGACATCGTCGTCGTCATCGTCGTCGTTATCGCCGTCGTCGTCGCCGTCATTGGCATCACCATCACCTTCACCAGCACGACTGTCATCAGCATCATCATCAACAACAACAGCAACAACAACAACAACAACAGCAGTATCCTCGTCAGCGCCATCGCCATCACCATGACGGCTCTCCCAGGCCTCGAGACCCCAGGTGTTTGACTTGACGGCTTCCCGACCCCCCTCGAACAGTCGCAACCTAGACTGATGGGCTGGCACGGTGGCGGGACTTGCCACAGGCAGCTGAACACATCAGTCGGATACCTACAGAAAAGCTGTTTCGAGAACAACCAACGACGGCGATGGCGACGGCGACGAGAGGGACGCAGACGGAGACGGCAAAGACGACGACGGCAGCGATGGCGATGGCGACGGCGAATTGTAAGCGGCGACGCTGGCGACGACGACGACGACGACGACGACGACGACGACGACGACGACGACGACGACTCGGACAACGACAACGACGACGACGACGACGACGACGACGACGACGACGACGACGACGACGACGACGACGGCGGCGGCGGCGAACGGCAGGCGGCGGCGGCGGCGACGGCGGCGACGACGGCGGCGGCGAACGACTCCGCGCGGAGTCCGGGGGGGCGCGGGCGCGGGGCACCCTTCAGCCGCTGCACCAGGTCGCACAGGATGCCACCACCGCAGGCGTCCCGCCTCGGCTCGGCGTCGGGCGCCTGCGGGGGGGCCACGGGAGAGGCAGGGGAGAGGGAGGAGGACGAGGAGCAGAGGCAAGGAGGCGGAAGAGAGAGAGAGAGAGGAAGGGGGAGGGGAAAGGGGTGAAGACGGGGGGAGATCTTCTCTCCCCCTCCTCCTCTGCCCCCTCGTCGTCCTCCTTCCCCCCCCCCCCTCCCTCCTGATACCCCTCTTGCTGGAGGAATCGACCGCGCCCGTCCCCCCGTCCATCTGCGGCACTTGGATGCCCGGCCGCTGCTGTTGCTGCTGCTGCCCAGGCGTCGGCTTGGCCAACCGCAGCTGCGCGAGCGCCTTCCGAGGCATAGAGCGGCGCGAAGCCCCCTCGTGGAGCCCAAAGTCCCCCGACAGCAACCGAACCACCTCGGCAGCGCAGCACGCTGTTCGACACAGCTCACTGCGACGACCCACCTGCACCTCTGAGCACTTCGCTGTCTCGGGCGGCTACGCCAGCACGGCCACCGCCACACGACAGCTGCGATGCCTGCAACAGTCCCGCTGCTTGCTGCCTGCTCTTCCCCAACTGCCAGCACCCCGATGATAGGTATGCGAGAAGTCCTTCAAACCTGTGTCGGCACCAAGGCTGCCACAGGCATGCTCTCGCCTCAGCGCCGCTTACATTCGTTTAAACTTAGCAAAGTGCTTTACGGATTGAGTGCAGGTCGTTTTCAAAATGCAGCATTCGCCTTACCGCTGCGCACACTCGTCTTAAACTAAACAGCTTCCAGATTCAGGGCGGGGCGTTTTAAAAAGGTGGCTCTCGCCTTAGCGCCACGCACATGTGTGTTGAACATTGCAAGGGCCTCACAGATTGAGGACATTCATTGTCAAGACGTAGTTATCGCCTTAGCTCCGCGCACATTCGTCTTTTTAATGCAAGAGTGTTGCGGATTACCATGGTTAACCTTCCAGCATCTGTGTTTTCGAACGATGCAGGATTGCCAGGGCGAAACAGGTACGTTGATTTGCAGTGTTGAATTATCAAGAATGGTGTTGTGGCACGATTCAGGATGGTCAAGACACATCATTCCGGTTGACTCGTGACTTTGACCTCCTGGGAATGGTGTTTTGTTACGCCTCAGGATTTGCACACGGTTGCCTCCCAACGGTGCGTTTCCCTCAGTGGAAGCGAATCCTTGAATGGAGTATATGAAGAGGGAGCGTGGGGGAAGGGTGTATCCCACCATCGTTGATGAGCGTCGGGCTTTCACTGGTCCTCCTCGTTCTCCTGCTCTCCCTCGTCCTCCTCCTCCCCCTCCTCCTCCTCCTCCTCCTCCCCCTCCTCCTCCTCCTCCTCCTCCTCCTCCTCCTCCTTTCTCCTCATCCTCACCATGCTCCGGTATCCTCTGACTCGTTCCCCTGCTCACCATCTCCCTGCTCGTTCGCATCGTCCCCGTTCCTTCTCGCCCTCTTGCCTGCGCCGTCTCCACCCTGTCCGCCTCCTCGCTGTCCCGTTCCTGGGCCTGCTCCTGACCCTTGCTTTCCTGTTCGTGCACGTCTGCCTCCCCATAGCACTCCTCGTCTCTCCGCCTCCCCACCCTCAGGGGGGCCAAACACACACACACACACACACACACACACACACACACACCGCTTTCGCTACTCCGCGGCCCCACCGCGGGGCGCATTCTGACCAGCATTCCGAAGATAATCCGGCCGTGGCGACGAGGGCTCTGCAGGACGAGCCGCGGCCGCCCCATCTTCAGGGGACAAAAATCGGGGATGGACAGAATCCCCTTTAGCAAAACGCGGTTTAGTGAAAACGACCTCAGGCCCAAACCTGGCGGGCGCGAGCCTGGAAAACGACGGCTGCGGCGCCCTCGAGAACCGAAGGCGGACAATTCACTGATCGACGTGTCCGGTTGGGGGTTGTCCTCCCCAGGTATGTATATATTATACTACTAATACTACTAATAATAATAGATATTGATAATAATGATAATCATAATATTAATAATAATAATAATAATAATAATAATACGAATGATAATACTAATAATAGTACGAATGAGAATACTAATGATAGTAATCATGATGATGATGATGATCCTAATAATGGTAATAATAATCCTAGCAACGATGATAATAAGAATGATAAAAACAATAAATATATAAATAAATATTTAAATAAATAAGTGAATGAAACGATAAATAAATAAATAATAACTAACTAACTCACTAGATTATAATAATGATAGCAATAAGAATAATAATAATAATAAGAAAAAAGAGTGAGAATATTAATAACTATTAAACAAAAATGCCTCAAAATAAACTCGCGGAGGTCCGCACGGCTTTCTTGGATCGAGCATGAAAACCCCTCCTTGGCACGCGGAGCGCGCCGGGGGGCGGTGCCGGAGGCGCCGCCATGGGGCTCCAGGCACAGATCCCAGAGTCCCGCGCAGACCTCCGAGAGCTCGTGGCTGTGCCTCGTTTCTGCTGCGACCTCCGCCTCCTCTCCCGGCATCCCCCCTGACCAGGGACCGACCGTCCCAGCATTCCGATGGGCCTGCCAGGAAATTATCCCGGAACCCACAGAAGCTCTCGGAACCAAAGCCACGTTCTTGGAACGCAAACTCAGTGCGTCGAAACAGGACAGCCCCAGCCAGAGATGTTCCAAGAGCACCTCGTCCAGACCACCTGAAAGGCCCTTAGAACATTCTTGGGTGGGCCTATAAGCGAGCCAGGACGCTTCGCTTAAGCCGGGCCTGTCCCCCTAAAGGGGGATTTTCGACGAAAACTAGAAAATACCCCCAACAAATTATCCCAGTGCGACCCTACCTAGGAGTTGGAGCCCCTAGGAAAGCAGCATTAGTAGTAACAGTAAAGCTGAGCTACATCTAAGCTAAAGCTAAGCTAAAGAAATGCTAAAGCTAAGCTGAAGTTAAGCTAAAGCTAAGCTAAAGCTAAAGTAAACTAACGCTAAGCTGGCGCTAAGCTAAAGTTAAGATAAAGCTAAGCTAACGCTAAGATAAAGCTAAGCTAAAGCTATGCTAAAGCTAAGCTAAAGCTGAGCTACAGTTAAGCTAACACTAAGCTAAATATAAGCTAAAATTAAGCTAACGTAAGTCAAAGCTAAGCTAAAGCTAAGCTAAAGCTAAGCTAAAGCTAAGCTAAAGCTAAGCTCAAGCTAAGCTCAAGCTAAGCTCAAGCTAAGCTCAAGCTAAGCTCAAGCTAAGCTGAAGCTAAGCTACAGCTAAGCAACAGCTAAGCTAAAGCTGAGCTAAAGCTAAGCTAAAGCTAAGCTAAAGCTATGCTAAAGCTAAGCTACAGCTAAGCTACAGCTAAGCTAAAGCTAAGCTAAAGCTAAGCTAAAGCTAAGCTAAAGCTAAGCTAAAGCTAAGCTAAAGCTAAGCTAAAGCTAAGCTACAGCTAAGCTACAGCTAAGCTAAAGCTAAGCTAAAGCTAAGCTAAAGCTAAGCTAAAGCTAAAGCTAAAGCTAAAGCTAAAGCTAAATCTCCCAGGGGACTGGGGGGAACCGCGGGGCAGGGACTGGGGGAACCGCCCGGGGCGCTTTCCACTGCCCGGCCTCTTTAAGCTGGAGAGTAAGAACCCTTCTAGGCAGAGCCTAGGTAGGGAAAAATCAAAAAATGAGAAAACAATAGTCTGGGAGCTATTTTTGTTAGTATGTTTTAAACCTTTTTGGTGTATGTTTGGTCTATCTCTTATTTTGCGTCGAAAGTCCCCCTGTAGGGGGACAGGCCCGACCTAACGCTTCGCCTCTGCTTGACCACCACCCCCCTGCGCCCGGGTCTCCCCCCCCCCCCACGGACGGCGGGCCCGGGAGGCGCCCAGGGCCTGCGGGCCGAGGGCCGCCTGGAGCCGCCGCGTCGCAGGCGTGCCGGACCTGACGCGGGAAGCACACGACGCAGCCAGGACAGGGGCGACGCTGGACAGGGCTGGACAACATCTGCTTCGGAGCCACGCGTGCGCTTCGCGCGCGTTCTGGTTCTGGCACGCACCGGCGCCTGAGACAGCGGTGGGATGCTCACCGCCCCCCCAGACTTAGATGAGGCATATCCTCCCCAAGGCGGGCCTTGGACGAAAAATGAAAAAGCTTCAAACACATAATATGAAAAACGTATAGTCCAACAACAAAAAAACAACAAAACAACAAAAACAACCACAACAACAACAAACACAACAACAACAACAACAACAACAACAACAACAACAATAACAAAACAACAACAACAATAACAAAACAACAACAACAACAACAACAACAACAACAACAACAACAACACCAACAACAACAACAACAACAACACCAACAACAACAACAACAACACCAACAACAACAATCATGTTAAGACTGTTCGCTCTTACTTGCCCGCGTGCCATGCAACGTGTATACCCACGCCCTCGATACCCGCCCCCTTCGTCTTCGAGCGTACCCCCTTCTGGGCGGATTATTTTTTTTTGCGGGGGCGGGCGGGCTTAGACAAGCGGGCGCGAACGGGCGGGAAATTATTCGGAGGATGGGGCACGCATCTATTTGCCCACCATTGGAATTAGCGCGGGCCCTGCAAGAAGAGGAAGGGGGAGAACGAGGGAGAGTGGGAGGAAGGGAGGGGGAGGGACGAGGCTAAAGGGGAACACGCCAGGAGAGAGGGGGCGAGGAGGGGGGGGGGACGATTTGAGATAGAGAGACAGAGGAGGGAGGAAGGAGGAGGCTGGAGAGGAGAGGGCGAAGAGAGGAGGAAGGAGGGTTATGGGAGGAGGGTGGGAGGAGAAAGGAAGAGGGAGAAGGAGGGTGGATATGAGGGAGAGGGGAGGGAGGAGGGAGGTTGGATGGGGAGGAAGGGGCAGGAGGGTAAGAGTGTGAACGTTCGAGGAAGTCCTAGGCGAGGGCGTATTCCTCAAGGAAGAGTTGGGCGGGAGCGAGGGTCCCGAGTACATTGTCGGACGTCTCAGGCGGGAGCGCCGGTCGGGCGGGCGGACCCTGACGGGCGGGTCGGGCGGGCGGGACATTGAAACGGGATTTTTGCGTAAATTGCGAGGAAGTACTAAGCGAGAGCGCGATCCCTAAGTAAATTGCGAAGGCGTCCTTGGCGCGAGCGTGGTTCCTGAGCGTCGAGAACGCGATGCTGCTATAAATTGCGCGGAAGTCCTAAGCGAGAGCGCCATTCCTGAGTAAGTTATGAGGAAGTCTCGGGCGGGAGCAGGGGTCCTGATTAAGGAAGTCTCAAGCGGGAGTGCCGCTTCTTAATAAAATGTAAGAAAGTCTGAAGCGGGAGCGCCCTTCGGGAGTAAATTTTGAGGAAGTCTCAGGCGGGGGCGGGGGTCCTGAGTTAAAGTGTGAGGAAGTCTCAGGCGGGAGCCGTTGTTGTTGTAGTCCGGAGCTTAACAACGCAATCTGATCCGCAAGGCTTTCCCTGTCAAAAAACACGGTGCGAGCCCCGGAGAAAACACTTCAATGGAAAAAACCCATGGGCACCGGACAGGGGGGATCAACAATAACCTCACGCCCGTGAGAATAAACACTAGGGGATAATAAAGTTCGGGGTTCAGGGAGAGATAATAAAAGTAGCCCAGCAGACCTCAGCATAATCTCGAAGTAAGAGATGATCAAGAGGAGACCAAGCCGAGCACGTTTTGAGACATCCTTGGCGTTTAGTTTTCATAGAAATATCCTCAACAATGGCTTATCTCGCTGGAGACATCCTCGACAAATCCCTTGTTTCGCTTGAGACATCCGCAAACTATTGCTTATTTCGCTTGAGACACAGTCAAACTATTGCTTATTTCGCTTGAGACATCCTCGAGATAAGAAAGTTCAGGCGAGCGTGGGGACAGAGAGAAATATAAAAAAAGAAGAATACAGTAGAAGAATAATAAGAAAGAAGAAGAAGAGGAGAATAAGAAGAGGACGAAGAAAGGAAAAATCCAAAGTTCCTAATCTATCAATTTTAATTTACAAACGCTTTATGAAAATTGATGTTTTAAAGTGCTCGTGTAGGGTAGCTCATGTGCTTCATTGTCCATGGAGAATCAACCCCAGGGATAAAAAAGTTCAGGCGAGCGTGAGGACAGATAGAAATATAAAATAAGAAGAGGAAAGTCGAAGAAAAAAAAAAGAGAAGAAGAAGAGAAGATGAAGAGAAGAAGAACGGAAAAATGACAGGTTCCAAATCTATCCATTTTAATTTACAAACGCTTTATGAAAATTGATTTTTTAAAGTGCTCATGTAGGGTAGCTCATGTGCTCCCCTTTCCATGGATAATCATACCCAGAGATAAAAAAGTTCAGGCGCGCGCGGGGATAGATACATATATAAAACAGAAGATAATAATAGTATATATATAGTATTTTTTGTTTTTTTGTTCTTTTTTAGAGAAAAAAAAAACTTGCTGGTTTAGCTTGAAACATCCTTGAGACATCCTTGGAACATTGCTCGTGTCGTTTGAGTCTGCCTCCCAAAATTTGTCGTTTCGCTTGAGACATCCTTGAAACATTGCTCGTTTCGTTTGAGTCTGCCTCCCAAAATTTTCGGTTTCGCTTGAGGCATCCTTGAAACATTGCTCGTTTCGTTTGAGCCTGCCTCCGATTTTTTTGGTTTCGCTTGAGACATCCTTGAAACATTGCTCGTTTCGTTTGAGTCTGCCTCCCAAAATTATTGGTTTCGCTTGACACATCCTGAAAAAAGGGTGATCGCTTCGCTTGATGTTGCTATATCAACATCGTTTGATGTTGCTATCTCAACATAGCGTTTCGAGGTGATAATGAAGTTCGGCCTCAGCGCTCGCCGCCCAATTTGAATTTTGTTTAGGGCGACGATAATCAACTCTAAACACTGAAGGGGGGGTCCCTTTATTATCATCGGCATGCGGTTAATTATTCTTCTGAAATGAGAGTTCAACAACAGCAACAACAACAATAATTTTAAGACTGTTCGCCCTTATATGCTCGAGTGTCCGATAACGCGTATTTCCCAAACCCTCGATACCCGCCCTCTTCGTCTTCGATCGAACCCCTTTTGGGGGGTATACCTTTCTTCCCTGCAGGCCGGGCCCCGGCAAGCGGCGGGGCGGCCGCGGACCGTCGGCCTGGCCAGCGGCAGCGCTGATCAGCGGGGCGGCCGCGGACCGTCGACCTGACCCCAAGAGGGACGGACAGGGGACCGACCACGACGACGACGACGACGACGACGACGACGACGGCGACGTCGAAGACGACGGCGACGACGACGGCGACGACGAGCAAAAGCGAGAGCGAGAGAGAACGACAGCAGGGCCACGAAAGGCACGAAGTAGGCCACGAAGGGCGACAGCGGGGACACGAAGGGAATGCGTATGGGGCCACGGAGAGCGCGAACGAGCGGGGGCCACGAAGTGCAGATAATGCGGGGCCACAGAAGGCAACTATGGGGCCACTGAGGGTAGCAACTGGGCCACGTAGGACAGTGAGGGGGACACAAATGGCGACAGCGGGGCCAAGAAGGGCATGCACATGGGGCCACAACGGGCGCGACTCCTGGGTGTCTTGGTGTCGGGAGCGCGGCGCGTGGGCAAATTGCAAGGAATTCCAACGCAAGGCCATTCTTCAGTAAGTCGCAAGCAAGTCTCCAGCGAGAGCGCGACTCCAGAGCGCCGGGAAAGCGTTTCCTGAATAAATAATGAAGAAGTCCCAAGCGAGAGCGCGATTCCTGAATCAAATGCGAGGAAGTCTCGGGCGTGGGCGGGGGTCCTGGCTAAATTGTAAGGAAGTCTCAGGCGGGAGCTGTTGTAACCCGGGGGCCAGGGGGCCAGTTTGAGCAGGAAGACTTCCCCTGTCAAAAAACAGGGTGCGAGCGTCGAGGGGCACACTTCGATCGAGAAAAAACAGTATGCACCAGTGGGGGGATCAACAATAATCATTCTTCCGAAATGATAATTCAACAACAACAACAACAACAACAACAACAACAACAACAACAACAACAACAACAACAACAACAACAACAACAACAACAACAACAACAACAACAACAACAACAACAACAACAACAATCACTTTACCCGAACGCTCAGTGTTCTCACCAGTGCCAGGGTTTTCATGCGACGCCAGCCAATACCCCCACTTTGTGGGGGGGCAGTGCAAGCTCTACCAAATATCCACACGACTCTTCGCCACCACCCACACCCAGCTTCCCGCCCTATGACGTTCGGACACTTCACTTCGTGGCCTGCGGACGACCGTGGCTACTACACTGGCGTGGAGTACACACCCACATAAGTTGTTAATCCTACGTTCGTACACCCACAGAAGTTGTTAAGCCTTGTTAACCCACAGAAGTTGTTAAGCCTTCCACAGAACATCTGTTGCATATGATGCATATGGTACATGATACACATGATACACATGATACGTACTCACAAGATAGTTGATCACATCTTTAGGGCAAATTCCTGAGGGATGTGGGAATACACAGAGAGAGAGAGGATATGGTTGTCCCGATGGTTGTCTCGATGGTTGTCCCGATGGTTGTCCTGATGGTTGTGGTTGTCCCGATCGTTGTCCCGATGATTGTCCCGATGGTTGTCCTGATGGTTGTGCTTGTCCCGATCGTTGTCCCGATGACTGTCCCGATGATTGTCCCGATGGTTGTCCCGATGGTTGTTCCGATGGTTGTCCCGATGGTTGTCCCGATGGTTGTGAGCGATGCCGGATCCTCACGCCCCCCGCCGGAGGAGGAGGAGGAGGAGGAGCAGGACAAGGAGGAAAGGAGAGAAAGAGAGAGAAGACGCCCACCCACCGTTGCAAGAGCGTGCGAAAGTAGCTCGCGCGAGCTCATGTAACATAAATGTTGGAAAACCATTGGTTTTTTTTTGGATTCGGACAGCGCGCGCGGGTAGAAATTTTGA